TGGGCAAAATAGATGTTAGGAATGTTGAATAAGCACTGAAGTGGATTATGCTAGCTCTTCAGATAACCCAAGATACAGATTAGCATGTGGATGAACAGGGAGAAGGTTTTGGAGGCTTGCATTTGAGGTTAACAAATAGATCACACTCTGTGGGAAACTAAAGGCCCTGTTTTGGCTCACTCACTTGATTTGAAACAAAATCCAGTGAGCTGGATCTTTGTTTAGGATAAAGCCCTAAATCCTACTGTTTTCAGATGGACACAAAATGTGGAGCACAGGTCTCTGTGCACAGATTAAATCACCGCAAATCCCAACTGGTGCTGGCATCTTTCTCCAGACTTTCCCCAAACTCAAACTGAAAACTCTGTCAGTTTTTGCTATTCTTGGCCTCTGAAAAATCACTAACTTGAATCCAGGCCATGTGAATGGCTGAAGATTAAAATAATAACAATAAATAAAAAGCTCACACATGATGCATGTTTAAAAAATAGAGCACCACCGTGTGATGTAACGAAGTCAGTAGCCAATTTGTTTCTGACTATTAATAGGGTAGGCCATATTTCTGGAGAGAATTTTGCATAGTTCGAGTTTCCTGCTCTGTGATGCTGCTGTGCTGCGGTTTGTGTCAATGGGCTATTTCCACCTTACAAAGGGTGCTGTCACGTCATTGCCAGCTAAGATCATATTGATAATGTATTTTCTACTTTACGAGCAATTGAATATTAAAGACTGTATATGGAGTCATCGTAATGTTTATGGAGTGTTTACTAACGTATCCTTGACTTAAAGGTTTGGCCCATCTTGGTCTTAGTGTCTTGGTGTAATGGGCTGTATATCTGCATGGGGATTGCCAAAGTGCCCAACAGATACAGAATTGTTCTGAAATCAGTGGCTCTTTAGCTATTTCAAAGTCCATCTCCATGCTTTTTATTTTTATTTATTTATTATTATTGTTGTTGTTTGTCCATTTGGATGGTGCTGCCCCAGGGCTTGCTTTATTTGCACATAGAGACAGGAGCCATTGTGTTCCCAAAGAAATGATTGGATGGATCCAGTCCTGGTACACCTGCTAGAGCGGAAACTCCCAGCAGCAGAGATGAGGAATGTGGATAACTGAGGAAGTACATCAGGCCACAAACTCTTCTTGGAAAGGCAGAAATTGCCTTGAAAATTTTGTGTACTTACAAATTTGTATAAAATTACATTAATAGTATAATATAATTTACATTAATAGTATAAATTACATTATAAATAAATTACATTAATAGTATAATATACGTAAAGATACCTGAAGACTACCTTTAGAACCTCTAGCAAAATTCAACAGTTTCCTAAACTCTACTTTAAGATTTTCCTGAAGTCAACTTTAAGATTTAGTGGCTAGCATACTCTAAGTCTTATCTAAAGCTGACTTGAAGACAAAGTCCTCAAATCAACATTAAGACTTTCCTTGTCACTAGGAGATTTAATCATTTCCTATGATCAAATCTAAGATTTTAATCTCCAGTAGACTTAGAGAGTTTCTTCAAAATAACTTTAAGACTCTAAACTCATAGAAGTGAGATTCCCTTTCAACACAGCAGTGGGCAGTGGGAAGCCCAGACCAAATAGAGGAAGACAATTTGCCATGCTTTTTGACCCATACTCAGCTTGTTCTGTAGTTTGGGCTGAAACACCACTAGCAGCAAAATCTCAGATATATAATGTCAAACACTGCAGTACACAAGACACTGCAGTACACAAGAGAAAGCTCTACACAGGTTCCTCAAATTGCACATGGAGGAGAATGGGATGAGCATAAATTGGCAGTCAACTGCCTTCAGGTACTTCACCTTATTCATCTTTTTCAGCTCTGATGAAAGCCCCATTGGGAATACTGTATTCAGGCCTGGGGCCCACAGCTCAAGAAAGATGGAAAATGAGCACAGATGAGCAGAGTCTTTGGGAATTTTTGTGGATGTAACTTTTTATATACATTTTTCAGCTCTGATGAAAGTACTTTGTGGAGACCCACAGGAGCACTTTTAGGGATATTATTACTATTTTAAGATTTGGCCTCACAGAAAATTGTAACCAACAAACTCATCACTGGAAGAACAACCTACAAAAACATGGCTTCGGTTGATTCTTGTGCTTTCACCAGAAACAAAGGCGTTTTGTGCTGCCCCTTTGAAATCATGCTCACGTAGCTTTCATAGGTTGTCTGCAATTCAGCTCCATCAGCATCTTGCTCTCTTGCAGAGGAAGGAAGGTTACAACTCCACTGGTGTGTACCATTTATCAGTTATTTCTCCCTTTATGAAAGGAAAACACATTGTGTAACATTCACAGAATGATTTCCTGTTCTATTGCAGATGATCTCTCTGCTCTCCTCTTCTGAGATGGTGAGTAACCACCCTGCTTCAGACTGCTGTTTTTTTTTGCAAGCTTCACATGCACATGCTCTTTCCTAAACGTGTTCACGTTCATGTGTTACCCTTCTCCCTTTGTGTCTATTATATCACGGTTTGCAGTTCTGTTTCTGTCTTCATTCTGTTCTCTCCTGTTTTAACAGGAGGATTTTTTTGGTCGTTACAAAGCAGGGCTCAAAGGGCTTAGATTTGGGTTTTCCATGGGCTGTATTAAATTATTTGTGGGAATGGATGATGTTTTCAGTTGTGTCGTGAGTTGTGGTTGCTTGTTTTTTTTTTTTTTTTTTAAAAATGCAAACCCATTTCCAACCTAAAAATTAATGGAGAACAACATTAATGTGGATACCCTGCAGATCATAAAGGAGAAGGCTCCTGCTAAAAGCAAACCCATACCCTTTGAAGTTCTATTTCTAGCAGCTGCAGAGTGCTCAGCTGTCCTTTGTCCATGAGGTAATCTAGCAGAAGAGGCAGCAGGGACCATGTCCCTGGTGTCACACTGGTGCTGCAATAAAATCTTGCCATGGTTACAAGCCCAGCTGGCTGCGAGGTGGTCCTAGCACCCTCCCCAGGTAGGTCTGACTTTGGGGTGGCTGCAAGCAGGAACAACAGAAGAAATATCAGCATTTAACTGCAGTGGTGCTTCACTCACTGGTTGATTTGGCTGCTGCAGTAATGTGCAATAATGTGACCTCTTTCCAGGTCTTATTATCACTGAGGTTCCTTCCAGTGCTCCAGTTTTGCAGGGAGAGTAGATGACCTTTCCATCATTTCTGCTGAAGTGACATGCCATCTCCAAAGGACAGCAAAAAAGATAGTAAGTAATGCTTGACTTCCAGTCTGTTGGGGCACGGGTGAAAGGTGAGAAAGAGAGAGGCGGCAAGGATAGTAATCTAGCAGCTCATTTATTTTCTGTATCCATGAGAACATTTGTTTTCGAAGTGCACCTATCTTAAAAGATTTGATTTGTTGTGGAAGACAAATAAAAGCTTCTCACTGATTCAGTGTAGCTGGGATTAAGAGAAATCCTCCAACAGAAAATGTGGTCCCCTAACCCCACTGGTTTCATAACATCCATCCAACACTGGTGGCAACAAACTCTGTTTCAGTTGAGGTGAAGGCTGCCTGGCTCGTTGAAGGGATTATAGCCTGTGCTTGGTGGTAAGAACAGGGACGCTGCCTACCTAGGGTCCTGCTTGGGGAAATAGCCTCTGCCTCTAGCATTTATGCAGGCGTTTCTTCATTGCCTCTGTGTGTGAAGATTAAATTGGGCAAGACCTATAGCCCCTTGCAAGAAACTGCTGAGCTTTTGCTTTGCCTGTTGGCTGCAGTGATTCTACTGGAATTCTGCAGAATTATGTAGGGTCAGAGCTTGTAAGTGTCTGTGTCAGTGAGTTTGGCAAACTTCACCTAAAAATCCATGGTCACCTTTCATCAGGGATGTAAACCATGGCCTTAGACACTCTAGGTCCTTAGAGAGGGAGGGAAGAGGCAAGTGCAGAAGACACATCAGATCCTAGAGGAGATGTCTCCTGTTTCAGAAGTGACCCTTCAACACATCCTCTTCCCACCTGCAGCAGAAGAGTCTTTGAAGAGGTGATTCAGCTTACTCAGATTTGCTTCACTGAAAGTCTGGTGATGGATGTGTGCTCACCCAGTCTATATTTGTTGGCACAAAAAAAGGGAAACAGGTGATTGTAAACGTTGTCCACCTTAGAAATGGACTTGAGAGGACTCAGGTTGGCACTTAGGCTACTAAACAAGGCTGCAAATTCTTCCAGCTGCAAGGTCTGGAGAAGCAATGGGGAAAGGAAGCTGTGTTTTTGGGTATGTCCAAATTCAGCCTAATTTGTTGCTTCATTTATTTTCTGTATCTATGCAAAGATTTATTCTGGAATTGCATTTGGTTACTCATCCCGAAGGGCTCATAGTGTTTTCTTGCTGACTTGTTTTGTTTGGGGTTATTTGGAGCAAACGTTGACATTTCAGTTTCACTGTGTTTTTGGTCTACATGGCATTGGAATTGCCATTATTTTGGTGAATTCTGCCTGCATGTCTCTTTGTGGATCTCTTATTGTAATTAGAAATATGAACGAAAATATATCCTTTCTCAAGTTCATGTTGAGAGGAGTAGAAGTTGCATTTGGAATTTTAAGTTAAATGCATTTGGAGAAATGTGTTCTGTGGCACACATTTGAAAATAGAATTTAAACCCAGTGTATATCTTGAACAAAAACAATTACATAGCCATTAATTCTAAAAAGTTTCAATCATTTACTTTCAGTTCTAAAAGTGACCTAACTGAGAGAAGAGCCTTCCTCCATCATGTGAAGCATTTGTAAGAAAGGAAAAGATGAGGAGCAACATGCAATAGAATGTCAAAACAGAGCCCCGTGTCTGATCCCCATGCTTCACTCAGATGAGTATCTGCTGCTTATTTTGCATGAAATGATGTTTTCTCTCAGCTGTGCGACAAATAAAACTCTAATTAACCTTATTGTTTGCTTCAAATATTTTAAAATGTCCAAGAACCAGTTTTACATAAGTTTCATTCAATTTAACTTCTCTCAAATGGAGAACTTCCCATGGAATTAGTGTTGCAGAAATTCTTGTTCCATGTCCTTCTCAACTGTTATGTCTGACTATGAGCTATGTCACTGCTTGCTCCTTTTGATATTGTGTAAAATAACTACACTACCACAATGTCTCTTGAGCAACGACCCGCTGGCCAGTGCTGAGCTGGGGGGCCAAGATGAAGGCAGGAAATGCCTGAAGAAAACCACACTGCTGTGACTGAGTTTGTTCTCTTGGGTTTCACTGACCGCTGGGAGCTGAAGTTTCCTTTGTTTGGACTCTTTCTGCTCATCTATGTCACCACGCTGGGGGGCAACACTGGCATCATCGTGCTTGTCCAGCTCAATGCCTGTCTTCACACCCCCATGTACTATTTCCTGAGCAATTTATCTTTCTTAGACCTCAGCTATGCCTCCACCATTGCTCCCAAGCTGCTGGTGAATCTCGTAGCGCAGCGCACCACCATTTCCTTCTTTGGTTGTGCTACACAGATGTTCCTCTTTGCTGCTCTGGCTGATGCCGAGTGCTTCCTTTTGGCTGTGATGGCCTATGACCGCTACGTGGCCATCTGTCAGCCTTTTCTCTACTCCGTTGCCATGTCGCGCCGGGCCTGCGCCTCCATGGTAGCCGGAGCTTATCTCAGTGGGGGCCTGACCTCACTGGTACACACGTCTTTCACGTTCACCCTGTCCTTCTGTGGCTCCAACACCATCAACCACTTCTTCTGCGACATTCCCCCACTGCTGGAGCTCTCCTGCTCAAGCACCATGGTCAACGAGGTACTTCTCATCACCTTGTGCAGCTTCATACAAACCAGCTCCTTCCTGGTCATCATTATCTCCTACACCTGCATCCTTGGCACCATCCTCCGGCTCCACTCGGCAGAGGGCAGGCACAAGGCCTTCTCCACCTGCACCTCTCATCTCATGGCTGTTGGGTTCTTCTATGGCTCCCTCCTCTTCATGTACTTACGGCCCAGCTCCAGCTACTCGTTGGACACCGACAAGCTGATTGCTTTGTTTTACACTGTCATCCTTCCCATGCTGAACCCCATGATCTACAGCTTGAGGAACAAGGAGGTGAGAGAAGCCTTAAGAAGGTCACTAGAGAGAAAAGTGTTTTCTCAGTCACTCTCTTAGCAGGAAAACTGCATCTAAGTGCTGATAGGGTAGCTCTGGCTCAGCGCTTTGCAAAGCCACTAAATCTGTCTAATACCTGTTCCTGCTGTTCCTATCATCTCCATCTAAACTGGTTTCCACAGTTGTACTTTGTTGTTCCTGGAAATAAAAAAGAGGTTATGTAGTGAGTAGTTTCCTAAGGCAGAAACCTAAAATAAGGCTAATTTTTTTTTCAAGAACCTATCTGTCTGCTCTTTCACCAAAGGGAATCTCTCCCAGACATGGGCATCTACAATTTTGCATTTCTTACATTTAGTGAGGTTACCTTCAACCTGCATATTTCATAGATGAATCCTCTGTCATACATTTAAGAAATTATGGTTGGTTGTTACAAATAGAGCAGTTGTATTCTGGATTAAGCAGCTCACCTGTACTTTTTGTAGAGGTATTTTGTAGCACCTATTCAAAGGCATGACTGAGATCTGTCCTTTCTGGAATGTGAATTATGTCTATTTTTGACTGCAGATGTTTAACTTGAATAAAGTAATTTAAAACTTTCAGATGATGGTTTTCCTTCTTTGATGGAGTTAATAACTTTTTTTCCAATATCTGAAAAGTAAAACTTCTTTTGTTGCTTGTGACTGAGAACGTACTAAAACATTTTCAAAGTGTCTTTTGCTCTAATGCAAAATGAAAATGTTCGATTTTTTAATGATTCATCACTATCTTTGATTATAAGTTTCTTATGATAATCAGCAGACATTTTTGGGATTTTGTCAAGGTTCAAAGCCACATTGTAAGTGTCCATGTCAGGACTCACAGTGCTTTACCAAGCATTAATTGCCCTGATCAGCCTCACCCCCACATTCAGGAGCTTTATTTAAGTCCAAGTCTGGGGTGTTTTATTCTCCTTTTGATCTATGTTAGAAGAGCCCTAGTTTTTGCTTAGCCTACAGAGCATCTTGATCCAGATCTCAACCTGTGGGCTGAATTTCTCATTTGACTCTAGTCGTGAGTTTGTGGTTATGGTTCCAAATAGCAAAATTCATAATGACTTACAACAAATAAACAGCATGTGTGATATTATCAAGAACACTTGACTTTTGTGGCAGTATTTTTGGACAGTGTGAGAACTTTTAACTCCATTTTCCAAAGCAGAATGCCCTGATCAGGTAGGAACAAGTATCCCAAATCAGCTCAACTGAGGTTCCTCACTCACTTCATACTGAGGTTTGTTCATACAGCAAATATCTCGAGATGTTTGTTCACGATAATTGATTCCAGATTTCCTACAAACATCAATGGAAATGTTTGGAATGCTATCAAGGTTCAAAAATGAAGGGATTGCATGATAACTGTAGGCAGTGTATCCTGTTTTGTTCTTCAAATGGGGCACCATGGAGCTCTATACCAAGGAGCTGTGCAATATGCAGAAGGTGAGTGAAAGAAACAGAAACTGGAATGAAGTCCCTGGTGTTGCATACCTTTAATTAGCAGTTGGAGATTTGCCATACTTAAATATAACACTGACTAATAAAAAATCAAAAAGCACACAAGCTTATTTTTCCAGGAACTCTTTAGAGGCAGTGGGGGAAAAATGTCAGTAGGGTTGTGACCGGCTTTTACCTGGTCTGGGCCTAGAGCCCAGAAGTTGCCTAGAGTGGTGAATACCCCATTCTTGGAAACATTCAACGTCAAGCCAGATGGGGATCTGAGCAACCTGATCTAGCTGTAGGTGTCCCTGTTCATTGCAGGGGAGCAGGACTAGATGCTTTTTATGAATCACAGAATCACAGAATCACCAAGGTTGGAAAAGACCTACAAGATCATCCAGTCCACCTATCACCAATAGTTCTTACTAAACCATGTCCCTCAACACAACGTCCAAATGTTCCTTGAACACCTCCACGCTTGGTGACTCCACCACCTCCCTGGGCAGCCCATTCCGCTGACTGACCACTCTTTCAGAAAAGCAGTATTTCCTAAGTCCAGCCTAAATCTCCTCTGGCACAGCTTGAAGTCATTCCCTCCAGTCCTATCATTAGACACATGAAAGAAGAGGCCAACCCCCAGCTCACTACAACCTCCCTTCAGGCAGTTATAGAGAGCAGTAAGTTCTCCCCTGAGCCTCCTCTTCTCCAGACTGAACAATCCCAGCTCCTTCAGCCACTCCTCATAAGGCCTGTGCTCCAGATCCCTCACCAGCTTTGTTGCCCTTCTTCTAAGAAGACCTGCTCCAGGGCCTCAATGTCTTTCTTGCAGTGAGGGGCTCAAAACAGAACACAGTACTTGAGGTGCAGCCTCACCAGAGCTGAGTACAGGGGGACAATCACTTCCCTGTTCCTGCTGGCAACATCATTTCTTATGCAAGCCAGGATGCCATTGGCCTTCATGGCCACCTGGGCACACTGCTGGCTCACGTTCAGTTGAGCATCAATCAGTACCCCCAGGTCCATTTCCTCTACACAGTCTTCCAGCCACTCTGCCCCAGGCCTGTAGCATTGCCTGGGCCAAAGTGCAGGACCCAGCATTTGTCTTGTTGAACCTCATTCCATTGGCTTCAGCCCAGCTATCCAGCCTCTGTCCAGATCCCACTACCCCCAGGCAGATCGACACTTCCAGCCAACTTGGTGTCATCAGCAAACTTACTGAGGGTGCACTCAATGCCCTCATCCAGGTCATCAATAAAGATATTGAAGAGGAAAGGCCCCAGCACTGACCCCTGGGGAACACCACTCATGTCTGGTCACCAGCTGGATTTAGCTCCATTTACCACCACTCTCTGGGCCTGGCCCTTCAGCCAGTTCCTTACCCAGTCAAGAGTGTACCTGTCCAAGCCACAGGCTGCCAGCTCTGCAGGAGAATACTGTGGGAGACAGTGGATCCTTTCCAGCTCAAACAATGCAATTATTCAATCATTTTAAATGATCTGATGGTGATAGGGCAAGGGGAAATGGTTTTAAACTAGAAGAGGGGAGACACAGGTTAGATGTTAGGGGAAAATTCTTAGAGGGTGGTGAGGCCCTGGCACAGTCTGCCTGGAGAGGTTGTGGATTCACCATCCCTGGACCCCTGGTTGTGAATCCCCATCCCAAGGCTAGGCTGCATGGGATCATGGGCACCTGACATAGCAGGGGCAACAAGTCCACAGCGGGGGTTGGGACTGGATGGACTTTAAGGTTCCTTCCAACCCAAACTTTCTGTGGTTCTATGATTCTGTGATCTCTTCAAAGAGAAATTTGATCCCATCTGAGGAGCTGTTGCAAAGACCAGTTCAAGATAGAAACCAAAGAGTTTTGGATGATTGGACCACTGCCATTTTGCTGTGTTCTTCCAAAAACTAATGTTATCTAGACTGGTTCCCATTACTAAGACTAATGAACAGTAAAAAGATTATCTTCATTTGATCATACATGGTTTCCACAGGTACCAATCATTTATAGCATGAATTAGGTCAACTTAATGTCTTTATAAACATCACCTTTAAGCATCAGAAATACTACAAATCTTCTCAGGATGACATTGTGATGTAATTAGCTTCCATCTCTCAGGGGACGTAAAGTAATTGCCATGCTACTGTGGCCTGGCTGTCCAATATATAATTGCTTAAGACTTTTTCTGAGTGTATGAACACGACACTGCAGCTAAGTGACTGCCTCCTTGGAATAAAGATTAAAAATCAGAGGAAATTGGCAAGGCATAGGTGAGCTGGATAATTCTTGTTACTTCATGTAAAAATCAGTCCTTATTGAAGTTTGCTTTGGAAAGTAAGTATTTGCTGCTGAAAGCTGCATGTTGATTGATTCTGTAGAACTACTGTAACTGTGCTTGAATCAAGTCTTAGTTACAACAGTATGTCTGTATTATGTGGGCTAAGACAGCATAAAAGAAAATAAAGAGGTTTGTCTCATCTTAATTTTTTTAGAAATATTTTCATCCACAAATGTGGACCTCTCCTGGGCTTTTTTGGGAGTTTTTTTGTTTTTGTTTTTTTCTTTTGGTTTCCATCTTGGATTGCAAGGAACAAGCGCAGGATAAGCACAGCTACTGAAAAGCGTGTCTGCACTACGTTTTAGGGTTGAGATCACATATCTTATGTTGGGGCTCTGTAGGTAACTATTTTAGGCTAATGCCCTTAGATTCTTACTCTCAGATATGTGTCTTAGGAGCAAGCATGGAATAGATATGATGTATGCCACCCTACTGGTGCCTTTCTTCTCTCTGCTAAATTTAAGAAGCCTGGAAACATTTGTAGACAAACAAAATTTGGTTGCCATTCACAGAGTGAGCTTTATATTGATTTGATAGCAACTAAAATTATATCTGTTATAGGTTCTTCTGTTGTCAGTGAAAACATGTCTTCACCCAAGAACACAGTTCATTTGATGTCTCCACTCACTGCAGAGAAAGAGAGCCTATGCAACTCTCTCCTATTAGACATCAAGATTTTAGATAGCTTGTTTGGATGGAATAAATGAATGGGTGAATTAGATTTCATTATCTAGGTAGTGATATTTCTCATAGTGAAATGTGTTTTGGGAACTTAGGTTTTCACTACGTGCTTGTTGACACTATGTGCTTGTTGACAGTGGGTATGAGCATTGCATGTTTCCTTACCCCATTAATTTCTAAGCACTAACAAACCCTTTATCATCCTTATTTTTCTTGATGGTAGACAGCACACCAGTGAAACCCAATGGCTTCAGGAAACTGCACAACACACCAACCGCGTTCATTCTGTCTGGATTAACAAAAAAATCCAAGGCTGCAGATACCTCTCTTCATGGTGTTTTTAGCCATCTACATCACCACTTTGATGACAAATCTGGGTCTCACTGCATTAATCAGCATAGACCTCCAGCTTCAAACGCCAATGTACATTTTCCTCCAAAATCTGTCTTTAACAGATGCTGTTTATTCTACAGTCATTATTCCCAAAATATTGGCTACATTTTTAGAAGAGATAAAAGCAATTTCATATGGATGTTGCATTCTGCAGTACTTTAGCTTTGTTTTGTTGACAATCTCAGAGTGCCTGCTGCTAGCTGTGATGGCATATGACCGGTATGTGGCCATCTGTAAACCTCTGCTTTATACTGTCATCATGACCAAGGCGGTCTGCTGGAGGCTGGTGAAAAGTTTGTACTTTGTGGCCTTCCTGAACTCTCTGGTGCACACCAGTGGCTTGCTAAAACTATCCTTTTGCTCTTCAAATGTGGTAAACCATTTCTTTTGTGATATCAGCCCTCTCTTCCTGATTTCTTCTTCCAGTACCGATCTCAATGAGCTGCTGGTTTTCATTTTTGGAAGCTTGTTTGTGATGAGCAGCATCATTACCATCCTCATATCATATTTTCATTATTCTGACTGTGATGAGGATCCACTCCAGGGAGAGGAAATACAAGGCCTTTTCCACCTGTACCTCTCACCTGATGGCTGTCTCTTTGTTTCATGAAACAATTGTCTTTATGTATTTCTGACCAGCCAACAACTTCTCTCTGGACAAAGACAAAATTGCGTCGTTGTTCTACACTGTGGTGATCCCTATGCTGAACCCTCTCATCTACAGCTGGAGGAACAAGGTGGCAAAAGATGCTCTACACAGAGTCATAGCCACCAGTGTTTTGTTTCACTGACTTTCTGGCAATCCAGAGAGATCCCAACTTGAGTTTTAAAGGGATGATTCACAAATAATTTGAAATTAGAAACCACTTAAGCACATATTCACTTTAAATGTCCATTGGCTTTGCATGTTAAATATGTTTTATTATACTTAAGCACTATTTTGACGATAGTATTCCCTGGTCTTAAATTTATTGTATGTGGGGCAGCATTCATTTTCCTGAACTTGTGTCAAAATACAATTTCAGTGTATGTTGAAAGAGAGTTTGTAGAATGTTACCAAGGTTTATGTGACTCCTGAAATTGAATTCACGCTGCGATCAGGGATGAGCTGTAGAAACAACTGATTATTACAAAAACAAATGAAGTATGTGTTTTGTGTTTTTCATTCTTAAAAAGTTGTCTGATTGTTTATCCCTAAAATCAAAATGTCATGAATGGTTCAATTTGCAGTCATGCTGGTAGAAAAGTAAATGCAAAGAGAGGTATCTCATTGCTACATAGGGCTGCCTTGAAGATGAATGAGTAGCATCATCTATCATGAAATGTACAATTCTCATGGTCATCAGACCATACTTCCCTTCAGACAAAATCTGAGGCATTATTTTCTCTTTAAAGCTTTGGACTGACTGTATCCTTAAACAGGTAGAAGAGTCTGAGCCCACCTCTCTACTAGTGTAGCAGGTAAGAATTTTCTGCTACCAGTTCCCTACTCTGTCCAAGGAAATTCTTTGTAGAGATACTCTTCTTGATGCATCCACTTTCATGTTCAGTGCAACACAAGTGAAGTCAGTCTCTCCCCTTTGCATATCTCTAGTGTGGAGAGAGCTGGAGGCACTCAGATCTTAAACAAGAAGATCAGTGTAGCATCATAGAGGAGAGATAAGTACATCTGCAGAAAACAACTTACCTGTAAATAGAGATGAGAAGTGAAGATCTCAGGTTTGAGATACAGAGCAAAACAAGGAAAGGAATAAAGTAGATTCACATGGATTTTATATTAACGTGTTTCTGCTGTAATGTCGTTGCACTCACAACACCAGAAAATCAGAGCTAGAGGCGTGCTGAAAGTACAATCATGCCCTCTGTTGTGACAGCTCACAGAACAAAAATATTTGGAATAGGACACGTAGGTGCCTATATGTCACCAACGTATAGGATCTCAGTGTACTCACTGGACACTCATGACCATTGCTCACAAATGAGTTGTCTCAATATCAAAGTGGCTTTGACCTTATTGTATATTTGCAACCCATGTAATGAGACTCTCAGTCACTCGATAATGACAGAAGCATTTGTAAACACTGCTTGCTTTTCTCGTGGGACAATTCAACCAAGAGCAATTATTCTAGAACAAAAGCATGTTTTTAAATAGGAATATTAATTGGTACTAGCCAGTTGTTCTGGGTATCTGGATGGAAAAATATAAATGCACGTTTATTTCCACCTTACCATTTTTTTCATCTGAGGGGGATTTTCTAATGGCATATTGGACTGCTTTCCGTTGTCCAGCAGGAAGGTTTTAGAGCAGTAAGTGTAACTTGCAGGTGACCATGGAATGAAGTAAGTGTATCCTGAAATTCCTTGACCTGAACACAACTGAAGAGAAACAAGAAGTGCTGTAAGTCTTTATAAAATCAAAATAAGTACCAAATTTCAATTCTATCATTTCCCTCTCCCTGTTTCTCTGTTAGTCTCTGATAATCATTTTCTCCAATTTCTTCACCTCGCAGCCTTCTCTTCCACAGACTGCACAGCCCCAGCTCTCTCAGCCTGTCCTCAGAGGAGAGGTGTTCCATCATTTGGATAATTTCTGTCGCCTTCCTCTTGACACACTCCAACAGGTCTGTGTCACTCCTCAGTTGGGGACTCCACATCTGGTTGCAGTACAAAGGTTTCCCTGTCTTACAATAGAGAAAGCTATGGAAAAGAACAGAGAGAAAAGGAGACCAGTAGAAGGGAGAAATAAGTGAAACAACTGTTATCACAGTTTCAAAGTTTCAAAGCCAGAACTGGAGTGGCAGAATGGCATGGGGACAGATCCAACCCATGCACTGATCTATGGCTTTCCTTCTTGATTCCAGGTAACACTAGAAAGAAAATAATGGTCAAAGATAATGATACCACTGTGACTATCTTCATTCTCACAGGATTAACTGATAGACAAGACCTGCAGCTTCCACTCTTTGCTGTTTTTTCTTTCATTTATGGGATGACCTTGCTGGGCAATCTAGGAATGATATTGATCATTAGGTTTGAGCCACAACTGCACACCCCCATGTACTTCCTTCTTAGCAGCTTGTCCTTCTTAGATGTCTGCTATTCTTCCACTGTTACTCCCAGTATGCTGCTCAGCTTTTTAATGGTGTCAAAGGGAGTGTCATACAGTGGATGCCTTATACAGTATGGCTTCTTTGCACTTTTTGCCACCACTGAGATGTTTCTCCTGGCTGCAATGGCATATGACCGCTACATGGCCATTTGTAACCCACTGCTCTACACCGTCATTGTGACCAAAAAGGTCTGTGTACTGTTAATAGCTGGGTCATATATAGGGGGTGCTGTGAATTCTCTGATACAAACCCTTGGCTTGCTGAGACTGTCCTTTTGCAGCTCAAATGTAATTGATCACTTTTTCTGTGATCTCGTCCCTCTACTAAAGCTCTCTTGCAGTGACATCCAGCTCAACAAGACCCTTGTTTCTGTATTTGGCTCTTTAATTGAGGCAACCACTCTTGCAATCACTGTCATTTCTTATTCTTTCATCATTGTCACGGTGCTGAGAATCCGCTCTGCCAAGGGCAGGCAAAAAACATTTTCCACCTGTGCCTCTCACTTTACATCTATTTTCACATTTCACGGCACAATCCTACTTATGTACTTCCGCCCCAGCTCCAACCACTCACTGGGCACTGACAAAATTGTTTCTGTGTTCTACACTGTGGTCATTCCTCTGCTCAACCCCTTGATCTACAGCTTGAGAAACCATGACGTGAAGTGCGCCATACAGAAGCTGCTGAAGAGAAAGGTCTTTATGTGCTGAAAGTGTTCCACAGTGGCATCTGGGCTGACTCCATACAAAAACCCCATTGTCTTGGACACGCTTTATGAATTCCTGAATCTTTTATGTTGTTGTGTAAAAGACATGTTGTAAAGATTGCTAATTGAAGGGTGTGTAACAAGAAAAGACATAGAAATAAATCCTCTTTCTGAGGCCATGCTGAAAATAAGGTCGTAAGTCACCTGTCTGCCCTTTGGAGTCTTTGGACAGCAATATGGGATTAACCCCTCCAAATTAAATATTTATGTTTGGATATTTCCCTCAAACTTGCTCCATTTTTCTAACCAATGAAGAGACATGGGCACACTAACATACATGTTGTCCTGCCCAAGAAAGTTGTCTTAAAACAGATTAGATGCACTTGTCTCTGAAGCTGCCTACTTTTTCCATGGACATGGCCTCTAGTAAACCCTTGGGGAAGGCAAATTTGTTTACCTCAGATGACTGTGGAACCCTAAAAATATTGAATTTGACCTCTACTGACCTTAAATTGCACAATTACACCACCAGCTACTACAGATTGCTAATTGTTTGACCTCAGATAACCCTGATAACATAAAAGCTCTTGAATTTGACCTCTAATAACTCCAAAAGGCAGGATTTGACCTCTAGTAAACTCAGATTGCTAATTGGTTGAAATCCAACGACCTTGGGATCCTTAGAAACTCTTGTCCTGCCATTTATTTCAGGAGTACACGATATCACACATTACTGTAATTTTAGGTATTGTGTTTGTTCTTTGCAGCTATATGCATTGGAGTGGATTATGGTATCGCTAACTGAAGATATTGAGGTACTGAATGCTGTTTATTGAGAAGTAGTGGGAAATAACGACAGTTTTTCCAGTGACAAAGGGTGTATGCTTTTACTGATGAGGTTAAATAAATTTTCAGTAATTACTTTGAGGCCCTTTATGAATTCATCTTTTTTCTTGAAGCTTTATGGAGTAAGGTGAAAGAAACTGTGAGTGTAGTTTGAAATGAAATCAACAGGATCATTGTGTGTTCAGAAACATGGATAACCTGTGGCAGCCTGCAAGTTCCGTACAAATGAATATTTGAAGTAATAAGGGCCTTGTAAATGGGAGGAGTTGCCTTCACTGTACTCCAGGAGTCAGGTGAGGAGCGGTGCAGAGATCCCCAGCCTGAAACACTGGGGCAGCTGGTTCCCCTGCCAAGTGTGCAGGATGATGGCATGATGAGACCATGAGAGACCAGCAGCTTTTGGCTGAACACTCCCGCATTCTCTCAATCTGTATCAGCCTTTCTTTCTATCCTGCTCTTTCTTTCTCTGGAGAGCTTTGCCCTGGACTGGCTGTGAGCAGCGTGGAGCTCTGCTCCTTGCTTATGAGAGGGGTGAAGTTCATCATCCACAAGCAGCACTGCATCCATCACTTGACAGAGTGAAGCACACTCTTCTGGATTACAGGTGACAAAGCTCTCTGCTTGATGCTATGCTGAAAATTTCTTGGCACTGTAAGATCATGAATATTCATGTCTGGTAGCTGAAAAGTAACAGAAAATATTGGGGAGGGATTTATTTTCTTCATTTTTTTCTTGTCCAGTTCCACCATGCTACCAAATAATGTAGTATAATAACACATTTGTTATGCAGTCATCTTAAACCAATCACTTCCTTGTAACAGTGATGTGGATAATAGTAGCGTGGTGGTCAATTTGAACATTTTTATTAATGTGGTAAGAGGTATGTAGTGTTTTGTTCTAGAGGTATGTACTGATTTCACAGTAAATGCAGATAACAGGACTCAGTGACCTTTCTGCAGCTTTTTGGTGGTTTGTTTGAAGGTCTGCAATAGTTTAGTTATGATGGCATTTGTGCAAGAACGATATTGCTAAAAGTTAGAGTAAGATGCAATTTAATGAAAGGAGGCTCTAACTCTTTTGTCTTCTTTAACTCCAGCAGGTGGTGCTATTGACTCAAAAAATTCCTCTATTTCCCAAATTTATAAGCTCACACTTGATTTACTGTTTTGTGTTGATATTGTGGGCCGATACTATGGCTTTGCATAGGAATAGGGATTGCAAGGATTGTACTGTTAGATTTATGGAAGTTTCATATACATATACATACATATATACATGTGTGTGTATATATATATAATACATATATATATGTGCGTATATATATATATTTAATGTGAAAAAGCTGAGTCTATTAAAAGGAATAAAAATAAATCAGGATATTTTCTAAACCTCCATTATTTTGTGTATACACTATAGGACAGATGCAAGAGAAATGGCTTTAAGAACCCTGGCCAAATGACTCAAAGGCTGATGATGTTCACTTCCAGGATGACAATTAGTTTTTACCCATAGTGAGTTTGACCATGAATGGCTCTTTGACTACAAAAGAGCACCTGTTGACTCTAAGAAGGAGGTCTAAGCTGTGATCAACAGTTAGTTGTGGGATCAGCAATTGCATTGTTGATCTTGAAGGTGGGAATTTACTGATAGTAGAGGAAAGATGTTGGATAATGGAAGAATATTGTTCCCATCACATGTAAATCTAGAGAGACTGACTGAACAAACAATTGTTGGAAACTAACTTTAGAATGCTTAGTGACTTTGACTAATAACAATACTTATTGACTTTTGAACTTTTTGAATCTTTCATCAAGAAAAAGAGAAATGACTGTAAGAGTAGTGATGACTTTATAATAAATGACCTTGTAATAACTTTTGATCTGTGAACCAGCAGTACGTGCTTTCACCATAGAAAGATTTAATACAAGAGGAAAATGTAGCCCGTATGGGAAGGGCCTGGATCAGCTCAGTGCCAAACTGACTACTGGGAAAGCACTTGTAGTCTTTGTGGACATTCCTGTAAGTCATCATGGCCCTGATACGTTCCTCTACAGTAAGACTTTGGTTCAATGCAGGCTAGAGATGTGCTGTTTGTTCATTTATTACATCAGTACTCACAGCCTGCAAGTTGAGTGTTTTTTTACCCATAAACATTAAGACATAACTTCACTCTGAACTCAGTACCCTGTTAGTAATTCCATCAAAGTCCTTGGTGTTTTAACATGAATTTAAAAAAGACAAGGATCTGTTCTTGCTGTTGTCAGATAACGATCTTAATTATATTACTGACTGTGGGGCAAGGGAGAAGCCGCAGCTGCATGGGATGAGCACAGTTTAGTGATTTAGGATTTTGGCTACTTTTGTTGGACTGTATCTCAAGAGTTTCTTCTGGTAATAACCTTAGGTTTGTACCTGTCTATAAACCAAAGACAAGAACACTTCTATCTGTCTGCTTTTTGTCAATTCAGAACACTAACTGTTAAACCACTAGCTCAGCTTCTGTCAAAATATATTTTATATATAATGTAGTAGAATAACATCAGTGAAATAGGAACAATCTTTAATTATTCACTCTATTTATGTGTAGATATTCAAAAATATAGGGAAGGACATGGGCTTTCTAAGGAATATTTTCAAAATCTTAATTTTGATTCTAGCCCATTCTAATGTGAGGAAAATGTATATCAGAGAATCATTCAGTTTGGAAAAGAACTCTAACATTCTCTAGTCCAACCTACTGTTGGACTAGAGTCTGTGGACCTCCAACACTGTCCACAGTATTGCCCACAGTATCGTTCCTGAGTACTATGTCTACCCTTTCCTTGCTTACCTACAGGGATGGTGACTTTGCCTTATCTCTGGAGAAGTATATTTTGGGAGTGCTTAATTATGGAACACGGAAACAAATTCAGTAATTACTGGATGAGTTTCTACTGAATCAAAGAAATCAGTGCAAAGAGACTTAATAGCAAAAAGTTTTGCTACTGTTAAGCAGATTTTCTTAATGGCAGTACAGGGATAGCACTGGGATTCTTCTCCATAAGTGCTCCACCAGTAAGTCATTTGTGAACAGATTATATCTTCACACGTATTACACACTCATTACATTTCCTAGATCATTATCCTATCCACTCCCAATGATTGCTCAACATTGATAGCCTTATTTGATGGGCTTCGATGAAATCTAGCATCCTTCTAGTACCATGACAGTCCATTTTGTAGTCCTTCAGGGGTTACTTGCTTCCTCCAACAGTCTTTCTCTTTAAAAAGAACCCTCCTTTTTTTTCCCAAAGGTTGCTGTAGAATGCAAGAAAAATCAGAGAAGTCTCTACACACACAGATAAGGAAGATAAAGGGGAATGTCTTGATGTCTGTCTGTCACATTTTAGGCTAATTAGGCCTAGGGTGGGCGTCCTGGCTTCTTTTGATGTTGGTAAGTCTAACTCTTGATAAAGACTCTGCAAGAAACAGGTGTGCTGTTTCTCCTTTGTGCTTCTTTTACCTGATTGAAGTAGAACAGCCTTAGAATATGCGCCCTGTCTACAGGGCTACATCGCAATTATCCATCACAATATAAAATGTAGTGGATAATGTTTACTATGGTGTTGCAAGCAAGCATTAATCATATTATACAGCAATTCAGCATCTATCCTTTTAAGGATATATTAACAGAATACTTTGTGTAATTACTTCTTCCAATCACTACAATATTACTTTTTATATATTTTAGCTTAAGGATTATTGAAAATGTCAGACTGCGGTCCAAGCTGTGGATAATCTCTGTTTTGAAAGTACACCTTCTGCTGAGGTCCAGCAAAGCTGACATTTTCCTAAGCCATGGATTAACTTTATTACCTTGCAGCTCATCTTGCTGATGTTGCTTCATTAGCAAAGAATCCCTTGCTGTTAGTTTCCCATCTTTCCTAATGGATTGTCAGTATCTTCTCTCAAGAAGCAAGGGAAGTTTACGGATGTCGCTTGTGAGTGACTAAAACTTGAATACTGTATACAAACTTTCTACACACTGTCTTTCTGTGCAAAGTCACATACACATGAAACATTGAAATCTCTGGGAAGACTCAGTGTTTGAGTTACTGGGCATCAAGTAACTTCTAAAAGAAAAATAATATATCTGAACTTTACCTAGAGATGTGGGCT